AGTTTGCATATCAACTTTTCTCAAATTGTTGATCGCCATTAAACAAATATGAATATTTATGTCTCCCGCCGGCTATTCTCTTTCTTGTTTACACTGCAACATCAATGAGTAGATTGAACGAACATTTTCCTCACCTCAGTCAGGAGTATTTGCTTTTTTCACATCGGTTATTTCCATCCTCACACTGAAGATCGCGTGTTTAGATGAGCAGTCACAGTTGAAGGAATGCTGTGTTGTCCATCCAAAAATGCAAAAGGCTATTTATTAAATGACGTGAAGTTTTAAATGAGTTTCTAAGGTGTCATGAGTTTTGCGATTCTCTTTCTAGATTACATATCAGTCAAACATTTAATTCAAATGATAAAATGATTTGAAAACGCATGGCGTTACCTCTGAGGCAATAAAGCTATCAAACGTGATCAAATGAATAGGTATTTGCGCCGTGAACTAACCTACTTTTGAGATAAGTGTGAACAGAAAGCATTTAGAAGACAACAGTGTTTCATGACCCCATGTCAAGACAAAAGCTGGCTCGTTTTCTTCACATTGCAGAGGAAGGATTGCTGAATTATACTGCGTAAATGGCGAAACGTCCTCGAGGCACAGGCAATCAGCAAACGCTTCAAAGACACGAAAAATGCGACTTATCTTCAATAATACTGAGATTCTACTAAATAATGACATCGGAAATTCAAAACTACCTCAGATTCGCCATTAGGCAGCTACACAGTCAATTTTGTGGACAAAACGTGTATTAAGAAATAAGTTAAATATTTCCGAAAAGGTGTGATTTAATACCAGTCCATAAGAATCCCTCGGGAAGAAAAATGTAAAAATGACATTGGTTCACCCTTGCGAAATAAAATTGTACAAATTTTTATGAAAATACAAACAACCACCAAGACAAGTACTACAATTGCAGATTAGACAACGCAAAGACAAAGGACACGGATCAAGTCAACAAGTGATACGCAAATGTAAGAAATAATGATATACAGTCCAGGAGAATAGAGATAATATAAATACAAAGTTAGGTGGAATGTGAAATAAGCATAAGTTGTGATTAGATCGTCAAAGAAGGATTTTCTATATAGTTATTCCGTTACACTATATAACACTTGGACACTCGCAGAGATGGTTACGGCGTCTTCCTTTCCGGACACCTATTAAAAATCTTTTTCATGAAACACAGTATGCTGGTGATATCCAATATTCCGAACAGAGTCTGATAACTCATAATAAAAATATCTGTGTACAAATACACCTATGTGCCTTGTTTATTGCTTCTTGTGGCTAGAGATTTCTGACGTAGAAATTTGATAGATGAGATTAGTCAATTGAGATTGGTAGGAGATATTTTCATCTACCTGAATCAAAACCTTATTTTACAACTAGCCTTTGAATGAATGCTGACATGGCTTAGTAACTATTTGAAACGAAACGATGTCAGGAATAACGTAGTGTTAAAAAATCATATTTCTGTGAAGCAAATCGACCAAATGAACAAATATTATACCAGGTATGACAGAAATGTGAAGCAAAAAAGAGCATAATATTGTGTGCGATAGTGGTCAGAGTATCTGCTGCATGGGTGGTATAGAAACAAATGTCGAGGCGGCTGAACTGGAATGTTAATGACGCATAATTATTTGTAAGCTGATCTAACGGATTAAAAGAAGTTGCTTAAATATTTTGAAATTGAAATATGTTGCCCAATTAATGGAGCATCTATGGTTATGCGATTACAAGATTCCTGATTTCTCGCAAAAACATATGAAGAGTTAGTAAATTAGCTTAGAATACGCAATATATAAGAATTTAGAGGGTCTAATTGCATCTAAAAAAATATAATCTACGACGTCCGAATGTTTCATAAAAAACACTTTCAGAATTTCTCTCTGCTTCTAAGCATGATTTGGTGACAGACGCGACCACATAATTCACAGACTTACTGATGTTGTCTTTCATGTGGAGTATATTTTTAAGGAACATTGACGCAATCTTGAGAAAGAAACAGGCTGATAGATTGTGACTGTCAACATAAAAAGCAGCTAGTACGACAGACGAAGACTTCTCGGAAGAACACGGATAAACACTGCATAAATTTTGAACTTACAAAATTACAAAACCAAATAAGGAATCACGACTAATTCTTCTCGGTAGTTCTGTTCACTTAAGAATAAACGATATATTTAGAACAAAGTGGATACTCTATTGACTCGGAAATGGAAAGTATTTTTTATAGGAAACTGAAGAAGTTTCATGAGTGCTTGTTTAAATGCATTTGTACACCCGAACTAATGTTTTATGGCGAAAGACAAGTAAATTTACGTTACTTAAAATTGCAAGCAGCTCTTATAATGCGAAAAACACAATATAATATGCTCTACATCCACTATATTATTCCAGATATCAAAGCAATTTCTTCATAATAGTTAACCACCTGATCGAATAACGTTATAAAGGCATACAAAGAATTCACTGTGAAATTAAAGACTTTTGTATACAGTTACTATTTTTATTAAGGCAAACGTGGGTGCAAGTTATGCACCTATGTACATATACTGGGTTTTACTATTGATTTGCTAATCAATATTACACTAAAATATATCAACGTTTTGTGTAACTATGTTATGTCGCGAGAGACATATTCTTTATTTCTATGCTTTCTCAAGGTAGCGAAGTAAATATCTGTATACACGAATTCCTTTTATATTCAAATCATCATCACACTGTGTGTAAGCACCAATGAAATGACAGCAGATTAAATCGAATGCCTCAGCCAATAAATTAGGAAAATTTAACTTTGATGCGGCGTGACGATATTAACTTAATCATTTTATTCAGGTATGAGTTTTCAATATTATGTAATGATATAGTTTCAATGTTTTCACAAAACACATACACAACATACTTTCTGAATCAACGTTTATGTCAAGAAGAAATCACTGGATGTTCTATTTCAATATAAATCCGATTCGAGTTAGAAATGTTGACACAGTACCTCTTGAGTGAATTGATGTTGTTTCTATGGGAATCGCTTCCAAGAAATTTACGCTTAATCATAGTGATTACTTCAGAGCTGTAGACAATGCAGTTTTCGTTCAAGTCAACGTGATATGTTCTTACTCTATCATTTCATGAGACGTGTTTTTCACCAGAGCAGAAAGTGATTGTCACTGAGCGGGGTGTTAAACGTTATCAGAGACGAATTGTTCAGAGTACTTTTCATCTCAGAACCTCTGAGAATAATAATTTCAACCTTCATGTAGAACCACCCAGAAAGAACGAAATTTTGAAAAGAATAATGCTGTTTATACAGTGTACGACAGTCATAGGGATAAAATCATTGAAATAGTGTGCCTTGCTTGTATTATACATCCGCTATGCAATACTATTGTGTGCCTTTTAACGAGTTCTGAGGTAACATTCCCACTATTTCAATCAGAAGCAAATGTTTTCCACTTCGTGCAATAAGGCTCGCTTCCTTTTAATGCGATTCATAAAATTGCTTTCATTTTCAGTTCTAGAAGAGGACTAGGCGTACACTAATTTAAAACGTTATCCACCTTCATATAACTGTTATTGGATGTGCAGTTTTCAACTGTATAAAGCAATTCCTAATAATAAATAATATACGTAAAAGCGTATATTGAAAACAATAATTCTGTTATTTGTGTGATGACTGGAAATTGAAAAATGATCGATGACTATGCTTGTAAAGGCATAAACAACCCTGTGATGGTATATTGGTGCGTTTCCTTCCACCCAAATCATTAGCAGCAGGGGCTTCAGGATATTTGCTGATGTCTCCATGTCAATTTTCAGTGCTTTCGGAGGAGCTCTGTTTGGTGCTGCTGCCTTTCTGGACTTCATTAAATTGATCTCATTAAAGACTTCAATCTTCCACAGGGATTGTGGTTTATTGACATTCCTCTCGCTGTTTGTGGCGTTTCCGGACACCTTGTATGTGGTGGGTCATTTGAAGGGAAGAGGAGTGTGTTCTATCTCTGACAATCGGTAGCGCAATCGCGTTACCCTCAATGTTTTTGTCAGTATGGTTTGTGCTGATTTGTTTCTGAGTAATGACCTGATCAACTGGTTTATTCAGCTGTGGCTACTCTTGCCTGCAGCCTAAATTTAAACAAAATTAGCACAAAGTAACTGCTACCTATGCAAGTATATAAGAGGCAGTCGAATCTAAGGGTTTGAGCTCACTGATCAGCGATGCATGCATCAATACACCATTAGATTGTATTAACGCTTTACATTTTGAATTAAGTCCACGAGAATTAAACACAGGTTAGTCAGGAGACATTGTTTCAGGTAGACGGATTTATATACAAAAACATGAATATATGTTGTCTAAATGTAATTCAGAAAATGGGTTATTTATCTGCCCTACAAATATCGATATATTAAACAGTGAAATTCAACCTGAAAAGACCAGATTTCTGAATAATGAATGTGTGTACTAGTTGACAGAACGCATTCATGTGATTATATCAGCACATATTGCTGTTTTAAATCCACTTTTGGTATTATAATAAATTTGATGTTTGTCTTTATTAGTGCACCACATATGAACATACAAAGAAATGTTCATCAGGCTTTTATTTGTCCACTGTTGTGAATATTGCACTTTAGATTATATTAGAAGACATGTATCCGCCACCATTTAATTCTCAATACATCTGCATGATTTTCCAGTAGGGGTCTTATCCTGGTTCGGATACTGCCCAATCCGTGATACCGGAAAAATTCAATGAACACAATGTGGTCATCAACAGCATTCAAAATTGACTTTGGTTTGTTTCTCATTAGACTCATTTTAACATTTTGAATCAAGTACGAAATGACCAACGTCACATGCCCCCTGTTCTTGGATATACTTTGCAACAGAACTCATCGGCATTGAGTAGATGGCATGACGTTTAATCAGCTTAAGTACAACAAGAAGGAGGGACTAACATCATATATCAATAGATACCATGTTGTCATCAACAGCATTCAAAATTGACTTCGTTTTGTTTCTTGTCACACTCACCATAACATTCCTACACAAGTAAGAAATAAGCAATATTCAATGCCTTCTAGTCTTGGATATAATATGTAGCAGAACTCATCGGCATTAGGTAAACGTCATCACGTCCAATGAATTATAATATAACAGGAAGGAGGGACTAACAACATATATGTGCAGGAGTGTCAGTGAATTAAATATATTTTACAGTATTGAGAAATGCAAACAAATATTGGACGGACATCATTATTATTTATGCAGATGTAGTGACACAGTGATGACTGCTCATCAGCTGAAGCTCATTGAAACCATTTTTACGTCTTATCCACATGTAGTTCACGAATATTTTATTCCATGATTTAAAAAGAACAGTCAGTGAAATAAGAAAAACCACTGACATCGGAAACATGCATAATATTTGTTGCACTGAATCACATCTAATTCGAAGTTCAACAGTAGATCATATTATCGTATATGCAGATGTATTATCTGTGAACTGAGTTGCAATCGTTATTTGAATGCAATTAGGAAATATTTCGTAGCAATAAAGTTGTGATTGTTTTCAAGGTGCCAACTACCTACTGGAGAGACATTAATCTATTCCGGCCACCTAGAGGACAACCATGAGCACACCGAGGGAGTGGCCACCATGATGTCTCCAAGAGTAACCGAAGCTCTCATGCAGTGGAAACCAATCTCCCCCAGGAAAATGACAGCCAGGTTCAACTCAAAAGGAAGAAAAGTTACAGTCATTCAATTTTATGCGCCTACAAACGTCTCACAATAAGAGAAGGAGGAGGCGTTCTACAGACAACTACAAGCAATAATGGACAACGTTCCAAATGGCGATATACAAATCCTGATGGGCGACATGAATACGAAGCTGGGAGGAGACAACACAGGAAGAGAACTCACCATGGGTCGAGATGCCCTCGGCGAAATGAACGACAATGGTGAACTATTCTCAGACTTCTGCGCCTCCAATGATTTCATCAGATGGACACACCGAAAACTAGATAGACTTCATCTCAATTTCAAGTCAGTGGAGAGAGAGAGAGCCTACTGTACACAAGGTTGAGGAGAGGAGCAGATGTGGGTTCAGACCACTATCTAGTACAAGGGACTTTCAAGGTGAAACTAAAAGCCTCGAGGATAGCTGGGGATAGGCCACAATGCAAGTTCAACACTCAATTACTGAAGGACACAACCACAAAAGACACTTTCACTGCAACTGTCAGAGCAAAGCAGGAAACACTACGCGACATCACTGAAGAATCATGCGTGGAAGAACATTGGAAGTCTCTGAAGGCGATTCTCAACGAAACGTGTTCAACGGTTCTAGGAAGAAAGAAGAGACAAGACAAGGAATGGCTCTCAACGGACACTTGGAAATTAATAGAAGAGAGGAGAATGGTGAAAGAGAAAATGATTCAATGCAAGGACGGACAGGAGAAGGAGACGATGAGCTCAACTTACAAAGCACTGGACAAAGAAGTGAAGAAAAGTGCTAGGAAGGACAAAAGACGATTCTACGACAATCTAGCTACTGAAGCTGAAAAGGCAGCAGGCAAAAGGGACCTGAGGACACTATATCAGATAACCAAATCTCTATCCGGGAAGAGACCAACACAAGCGAAACCTATAAAAGACAGCCAAGGGAAGCCCATTACCAAGGAAGAAAAACAGATTAAACAATGGGCGGATCACTTCAAAGGACTCTTGAACCGACCATCACCTGCAACCCGTCCAGAAATACCAACAACAGCGCACACACAACTGCAAGTTGACACCAATCCTCCAACGAGAGCTGAAGTCTTGAATGCAATCAAACTTCTGAAAGCTGGAAAAACAGCCGGACCAGATGGAATACCCCCTGAAGCACTGAAAGTGGACCCAGAGACTACAGCAGACATGCTGACTCCATTATTGCAAAAGGTCTGGAAGGAGGGAAAGGTGCCTACTGACTGGAGGAAAGGTTACCTCGTGAAACTACCAAAGAAGGGCGACTTAGGCCTCACTCTGCAAGAACTGGCGAGGAATCATGCTCCTATCGACGCCAAGTAAAATCCTGAGTCGCATCATCCTGGAGAGATTAAAGGACGCACTGGAGACAGAACTCCGACCAGAACAAGCTGGATTCAGGAAAGGCAAATCATGTACTGACCAAATTGCAACTCTACGCATCATCATCACACACAAAGCATGGAATGGCAATCAAACCTCTACCTCAACTTTATAGACTTTGAGAAGGCCTTCGACAGCGTTGATCGTGAAGTAATTTGGAAATTACTCGAGTACTATGGCGTACCCCAAATATTCATCAACCTTATTCAACAGCTGTACGACAACGGCACCTGCCAAGTGATCCACAACGGAAACTCAGCGAGGCGTTTGGAGTAAACACAGGAGTCAGACAAGGGTGCTTACTATCACCAATGATATTCCTAATTGTGGTGGACTGACTGGATTATGCGTCAGACAGTGGGAAACGAGAAGACAGGAATATCCTGGACCGACGTGAAGAACCTAGAAGACCTGGATTTCGCGCGTGGATGATTTATGTTTGATGTCACACAAAATCGAAGACTTACAAGCGAAAACCGACAAACTGGTCGAAGAAGCACGGCGAAGACAGGACTCCAGGTGAACATAGACAAGACGGAGGTTATGAAAATAACCAACCAACAACAGCAACAACATCCAACGTCAATCACCATCAACGGGAGGGATTTGAAAGAGGTTACTTCATTCACTCACTTATCTAGGGAGCATTGTCTCAACTACAGGAGGAGCGGACGAGGATGTCAAATCGAGAATCGGGAAGGCGAGAAACACATTCATCAGCCTGAAATCAATCTGGAAATCTTCGTCACTCAGCATCACCAACAAAATTCGGATTTTCAATACAAACGTAAAGTCAGTTCTTCTATACGGATCAGAAACTTGGCGGGCGGGTCACAAAGAATATTTCCAAAAGGCTGCAGACCTTTATTAACAACTGTCTTCGCTCAATACTGAAGATCAGATGGCCGGAAAGAATCACCAACAAGGAATTATGGGAACAAACAAAGCAAGAACCAATCGCCCAACAAATATGCAGGAGAAAGTGGAGATGGATCGGACACTCGCTGAGGAGACCGCTGGGTGACATCGCGCGCCAAGCCCTCGAGTGGAACCCGAAAGGGAAGCGGCGTGTGGGACGTCCAAGGGTGACATGGAGGAGATCGTGTGAAGAGGAGTTGAAAGAATATGGATTAACATGGATGCAGGCGAAAAGTATAGCAGAAGACAGAAAAAAATGGAGACGTGCAGTTGAAGCCCTATGTTCCACTAGGAACCCAAGGGAGCAGTAAGTAAGTAGGTAATAACAAATGACAGTGATATTTAACTTGAAGTGTCCAAACGTGCTTCATACGAGTCGATCAAGCCTTGCTCAGTATATATATATATATATATATATATATATAAACAAGCGTTTCTTGTTGAAACCTTGTGAGGTTAATTATTTATAAAAATCAGTACCATACACTTTACGAATATTCTAGAATAATTAACTCACCAAAGCAGCCTGAATCATTAACAAATAAACCGGGAGTGTTCAGATAACCAAAACAAGATCTTCTTTGAAATTTCACATCGTAAGCCACAGCTCGTCCAGCGTTAGTACTGAGATTTCATTAATCATCAAAATATACTTTTCAAAAAGTACATTAATTTTGAAGTGAACTCCGTCGTAGGCAATGTATTTCAATGCGTATATTTAGTTTAACACGCAGTGATGCAGTATTATTTACTGGATGACGTTTTGAGCATAATTTGTTCTTCATAATCACATCACATGAGCAATGAATTGTGCTTAGAAAGTTATTCAGTAATTAATGCTGCATCACTGCGTGTTAAATGAAATAAACATCTTTATTATGAGATATTTCATCTTCTGCAGTCGAGTGAGAATATTAAACATTTTTGAATCAGTTACTATGATTTCTTTTGGAAGTTCTAACAAACATTCGACATTAGGAGAAAGTGTCTTCGTCATTATTATTACCAACAGTTAGAGAGTGTGGAAACAAATACTTGATGATCTAATGAATCTATGGTTATTATTCATTTTCCAATTCCACGAAACAACAACAGATAAATCTATGTGTAATCAAAGAAGAGGTGAAGGAATGAAGACGTAGGAATCCAGTGTCACCGGTTAGAAATGAAAGTGAACGTGAACATTTGCTTATTTTGAGAGTCAAGTCGGTAATTTTGTGTAATTCAGAGGAGATTCTCTTCACATGACCTCATCTATGTGACCCTTACACTGATGATCAACTCAAACCCTTTCCATTCGTGTTCCTCTCTGCAGCCTACCATGTGGTGTCAACTAACGGATGTTTCAGACTACGGCCAATCCACCTCGATTTCTTCTGGCATATTTCTTGTACGATTTGTTCCTGCTGGATTAGTTCGTTTTCAGAAATCCATTTTGCTTATCTATTCTGGTCATCTGATTTTGAGCTGAATTGAAAAAAGACAGCTGTCGGCGAAGATCTTTAGTCTCTTATCCATCTAGTAGGATTAACTGACTTCACACTTGAGTTAGAAATCCGTATTATATTTTTGATTCTGATTGCTGTTCATCTCCACACACACTTGAGATTAACGAAAAGTTGCTTTGCTTTTTGGATCATCGCTTTGATATCCTCATCATTTCCGTCCACCTGTATTTGATAGGATGCTGCTTAGGTACAAAGTTAAAGGAGGTTGCTTCTTTCAGAGTTCTCCCATTTAAGCTGGTCCTTGTGTTGTTGGAAATGTTGCTGTAATTTTTCTGTTTTATCTATATTGACCTGAAGTCCTATTTTTGATGCTTCTTCTGCTAACTTGTTGCTTTTCCCTTGCATATCTTCCAGTTTGTGGGAAATCAGGCGTATATCATCGACGAAGTCCCGATCCGCCTAGTTTTCTGCATGGTTCATTTTATGCCTGTCTCCTTAATGCCCCAATGTCTGTCACACTATCCAGTCTGCCGACGTATAAATAGGTCATTATAATGACTTACAGCGGGGGATTTATCTTCCTACCATCAAAAACCATCCATGTCCCATCGTTCATTGGTGATCACTTCAGCGGTGTGTAAAAATTGAAAATGAAAGCAGATCCTGTTAAGTCTGGAGTACAATAATTATAATTTTCCCTCTAAGTGAATGCGTTTTAACTGATCATTATTTGAATGTATAAAAGGCACTACTAGTAATCTTATCACTTCTTTCAGAAGTTTCTTACTAGGTAGGGCTTTGCAGATGAAGTGCTATGTTCCGGTTAAAAGTTAAAGTAAAATGAAAAATAATTTGACAAAATCAATTTAGAATGTTTCAAGAACCTTAAAGAAATTCAAATCAATGAAACTTACGGTTTCTCCACCACCACCACCATTGAACTATCATATACACATTCATTTTTACACAATAATTGATGCTGAATTTCAACCAAATTAATCCTCGAACATGCATCAGCCGAATCCAAATTTATGTATGAATAATACACAGAGGACATGTGTCAATGTCAGTGTTTTAAATTCAATATCAAAAAGTTCAAATGTCGATGGCGTCACATTTAAAGTTAACGATTGCCATTTATCATTTAGGTTTTCAATGAAATGAAACAAAACAAAATTGTTGTTGCTGAAGAATTGGTTAAGGTTGACAGAAATAAGATTAAGAAACCATCATGCAAAGTTAACACAGTCTCTGCCGTGTAGACATCGGCAAGCTGATGGTGCCTTCCTTTAAAAATACTTGATCACACTTCACTTCCTGGTCAATAACTGTGGGTCTGACATTATCATGAAAACATTAGTACAAGGAATAGTTATCTTCCAGTCTTCAGTAAAACATCGTAACATTCATGATATGTTGAATCGTTATCGTCCCAACACATTCATCACCACAGGTTTAGCTGAGATTTTAAAATGTTTATCCGCATATTGCCTAACAGTATTATCTGTTAGACATGCGACAAACAGGAATGTCATTTCAAACAGTTAATAATCCAGACTTACTACCGCCTCCAATTGACCCTGTTGACAATTAAATAATGGATGTAACAGGCCTGATTTAATCCTTTTATAACAAGTATTGAATCATGAAACATTTTTGAAGGCGTCATATGTGGGATTTCTGTTTACGTTTGTGTAATTTAGGTAACAAATGAAAGATGATGAAACTAAATTTGATGACCGACGAATCTACAAGGGTGAGAACCTGGAAGTTTAACTCAAACTAGTATTTGAAAATCACTTAGTAGTGCTTATGTGATAAGGCTTCCACTAAAAGTTACTGCTAGGAGGCATAAACTGTATAATGTATATGTGATTCCTCTGACAATCACTAAATAAATGATAAAGTGTTGGTTTGTAGGGATTTGGTTGATTTCAGGATTTAATCATGAGCTGACATTAGTTTTCCAGTGGTTCTCTAACTAATGTCAGCTCATGACGAAATCCTGAAATAATAAAGTGTTGGTAATTATTTGATTATTTCAATTTTTTTCAATAATAAAGTTTGCCTCTGATTTTTTTATTTCAATTATAATGTGGGCTCCTCTTCTTTTGAGGCAACCCTCATCTCCTACGCTCATTTTTGGTCGGTCGCTATTTTGAATGCTTCCTTCCGCTGTTGTGTGGTGGTATTGTCCCTCCACACTGAAAATAATGTAACCTTGATTCACATGTGAAGAACAATGGTTCAATTTGATGCTTAACGTGACCTCTTCCAAATGGATATTCATGAAGAATTACAGGCAACTGCAAACCGATATGTCACCAAGTAAACAGCTTTAATTCACTGACATTGAATTCCGTGCAGTTCCAATTCAATGACACAAAAGTAAATACAGTTATTTCAAGAATATGACCATCTCTAAAAAGATTTTTACATATACACCTTTTATTGCTATGGTAAACTCAAGAATTGCATAAAATATAGTTAAAGTTTATGTTAGGTAAGATTTTGTGTATCTAAAATTCTGTGAGACATTACGACGTACTACAGCGAGTGAAGGCTACAAGCGATAAGTTATTTTTACGCGTCTGACTTAATAAAATTTCAATAATAGTTGAACACAACGTGGGTCACGAGTATTATACAAACCCTCATTCTGATTCACTTACTTAGTCGTGAAATTAAAATACTTATATTCAGACGCATGAAGTTAATCACAGACGCATCATTTGAAGAACCATATTTACAACGATTTAACAATAACAATTTCGCTTTATTCCAGAAACAGTACTTGTGGTACAGTGTGAAATTTTCAGCACATATCCACAATACTGCATCTAATTTCATCATACATTTAAAAGGAGTATTATAAAAAAAAATAAAATATTTAGAAAAAACAAAAAAAGACAATAACAACAAAAAAACCAAAAAGAAACACAGAAATAACAAAAAAATGCAATAAAGATACCTAGTAAAAAGGAAGATAAACACAAATAATGAAAAGATATTTCAGTATTGGTTAGTGGAAGCTACGATATGAGTATGCGTGGTGAACAGTTACAGCTATAATCATACGGGAAATTATGAGATGTTCTTAAAAAAATGTTTATAGCTAAGATGATCAGTTAATCTGATTGAACAACACTAAGCAATCATAAGATAAACATTTCAGGTTGTGTTTTTTTTATTGTCAGCACTAATGCGGTTGTTTGTAGTGGTAGTGTGAGGAATCATGCATAATACAAAATTTTTTTTAAGATGTGGATAGTGGCAATAACAAACAAGATTGTCAGTTAAATAGTGCCGAACAAAGAACAACCACAAAACTAATGTTACATGATGGTTAAAGACGGGACAATTTTTAATAATCATAGTGATAATACAGTCGGACCCAGTAGATGTATAAAGAAGGAATAGAATAAAGAATAAAAAAGTAAGCCAATGATAATGATTTTAAGCAGCTAAGTATGTTTAAGAAGGATGTTCACTACAGAGTACAAATAAGAGAGTGTAAGGGGGAAATAACAAGGGCCAAAATTATGTTATTAACAACAAAGCAAGTCATGTGTGATGTGTAAAGAATCACCGGTAACTAACATATCATAAGTGTACGGAGACTTACCACAGTTGCTTTCGCAGCATCTACAAATGAGAGAAAGTAGTACATTTTTTCTCATGTTTAATGTTAATCACTTGTCTTCATGATGGAACATTCAATTAGAAATAAAAAATGTATACAGCTCATGTTTCAATAATTTGTGAAAATCAAAGTTGAAGGCTGAATGGTGGAACTAATTATGTAATAGGTTGAATCATATTTCTTGCTACTTTGGTGGAGATTCAGTGATATGGGAAACATAATTTGTAACTAAGTGCTTACAGTTGTCATCAAACATACTCATTTATATCGTGACTGACTGATTTTCAAGACACATGTGCCAACTGGAGACTCCTTTTCACGTATTCATCAATCGGATAGAAGTGATTTCATAATGGACGGAGTCGTAACACATTACTACGGAAGTGCATGAAATTTTGTAACATCTTCGTAACTTACTGAGATGTCGTTAATTTTCAGGTAACTTCGAGAGAGCAAGCGCTGACCCGATGTATAAAGTGAGTTTTCCACTTAATGACTGATTCAAAAACATTAAAATAGAAATACGACAATTGATGTTCATTTCACTCAGTGTCAGAAAAAACGTAATTCCTGAAGTCAGTAGACTTTCAAAATCGAGGTGACGAATCTGATAGCTAATGTCTACTTCCATACTCACATTGTACGAAGATTTACTGCAAAGTTGTTATGCTAAAATACTGTGGAAGCTCGGGATGTAAATCAATTAACTAAAAAGGTACAGTTACGTTGAGATCATCTCCATAATTTATAGTGTCACATTTCGTAGTTGTCACATTCTACTTGATGGTTGCTAGTCACGCATACGCACTACAGATAGGTGATGGTGCCTGTTGCATCAGAACACACAGCATCAGAAGAATCGATTTGATAACAATTATAAAAACCTTCTAATAGAAGATATCCAAAGTATAAATGATGTTTGATATCATTTAGCATATCAAAAATTACGGGTGATTATCTTTGCTACAATGAATTCTAGAACCATAGTATAGTTTGAGCAAGTGAAATGAAAATTCCCAAATAAACTTAATTTATTAAAAGATGTTTGTTTCTGTGTGGTTGGTGAAGAGATGAATGTGGTAATATTTGTGCATTGCAACACGACGTTTCTCCACCTCTTTAAGTGAGAATAAAGTAGTTTATCGTGGTAACGCAACTGAGTCTGCTCAGAGTATGACTAAAACATTAAGTGAAGTGATGCGCTAACAGTGTTTTGTATTGGCTTTGTTGGTTGTCCAGATAAATGGAATTTCATACAAATATTTACTCGAAGAGTAATCTTCAGCAGGATTTGATACGAGATAGGATTAGAGAATTCCTAGGATCATTTCTATATATTAAAGATTAAATGGTGAGCGAAAACAAGCAGGATCTTACCGTTACAAAGCAAAGTGATGTTAATAATAGTACCTGTGAAATGTAAAAAGTATCCTACAATATTTTAGAAATAAATGAATTCAGAAAATACAATATAATTCTGATGATGTGGTTCGGTGAGTTTCAAAATATTCTGTCATAGAAAGTGGAAACTGTGACTGAGCACACAAGGTGAAATTCACGTTGTTATATGTGGCATGATTTTTGCCTAATATTGTCCATCAGTGTTACAATGTTTTGGAAAGAACCTTTTTGCTACCTAACTAATATGTACACATATTTATTTCAGTGGACTATGATAGGCACCAACGTTCTCATCGTCAACATGATAAAAGATAATCTCAGGCAAACATCAAAGTTACTTCAGAAAATGGGATCGCAAATCTGATAAAATGATGTGCAAAACTAGTGGACTTGATTCTATAAAATTAACTGACAGATGCGTATCTATTCATAAGTAGATCACTGTAAGATTCGCTAAGAGTTAGAGTCCGCATGACAATAAGCGTAGTAATTATTTTCCTGAGTAAACCACATAAGTATGTAGAGTAATCATGAGACATCGTCGCTAAATGAGGCGGGTAGGAACAAATGACTGTTCGTCTAGCAATCATTTTTTGATTACATAGACGATTTTACTCTGGTTAAACAGTAATATACTAATAATATCACAATCGATTAATATAGCTTACAGAACCATCTGAGGAGGGCGGCTGATTCAGATGATGGCAGAAACATGATATCTGAAAAATGATTGAGAAATATTACATTTGTGAAAAAACGAAAGTCAAAAACCAGTATATGACATTCACTTTAATTTGCTCGCTGAAATTACAAGAAACGTGCTATACTGCACAAACCACTAACTGATTCATTTAAAAAAACGAACAACAACTTACAGAAGACTAACGACGATATGATAGACAGCCAAGGTTTGTTAAACATGCTGTCTCTTAACAATTGTGTAAGTTTAGCACAAGACAAATAGTTAATGGCTTTATATTTGCTTTTAGTTGATCGCTGATTGGTGTGCACTGGTATCTCACTGATTAACGTCACGTGAAACACTCACCAAATTAATTGTTATCGATATGTTGAAATTCTATTTGCTGTAATAGTTAATTTGTATGTCTGGTACATTTGTTATACGCTGAGATTTTGTTTCTTACCAATGCTACCGGTCATTTAGAAAACCGAACATTTTGGCAAGGTAAATATAGACTCAAGCAGTATCTTCGATATCAAATTAAATCGAAGTAATAAAAGATACTCAAGCCATACACTGCCATGTTTAGGAATAACCCATTATGTGTAAATTTTGTTTTGATCAAGTCTCACAGTGTTATACAGTAATGTTCACTGATGACGTTTCGAGCACAATTTATTGCTCATAATCATATCAAGTTACTCACACGACTTCTTAACTTCATTTATATAGTCCCATCATTTTCACTTGATTTGATTGGTAGTAATATGTTCCATATTTCATGTATGAGTGATGAACCATTCCTATTGGATGTGTTGGGTGTAGACTCTATGAATAAGGATTCAGTAATCAACCTATCTCTCCACCTACCTATATCATTTTTAGAATTTTAACCCTGTCCCATCCAATTGTGTGATTGTGTGTTAATTGATGCATTGCAATTGCTGACCTTTCGTCTAAATTACTTATCTTCTCAGGGTCAACCATTCTTGCCTTGGCTAAATTCTTAGGTTCTGACAATCTGACTACCCCTGACCTACTAGTTTGACCCATGTAGTTGACCTAACTCACAGTAATTGCAGGGTATTTTGTAAATTACATTATTTTGTTTAATTGGGTCAACTGGGTCCTTTAGCCCACAGAGCTTGTCCCTGAGTGAGATTGTAGGTTTAAATGCCATCCTAATTCCTGCTTTATTTAGAATCCTACGTTGGGTCCCAGATCTGTCCACTTTATATGGTATAACTGCAGATTGAAAGATACTCCCGAAGGCTTTGTAAAGCGATAGTCAGCATCAATCCGCCTTTTCTTTCATGATTAAAGCACTGAATAATGAAAGTATGATGTAGAACGTACTTGAAAATCTTTCCAGACAGGAAAGTCAACAAACGTGGTGCTGATGTAAAAGTTTATATTCACACAAAATAGAAAGCTAAGTAAATGAGATACAATTCTTTAGGATATAAAATATTTGAAGTTCAATACACCAAGTATGTGAATAAGAAAATTGTAACAATGGTTTCTCTTTTGATAAATATAGTTTGTATGAAACATTTTTTGAGTAGAAATGATTCTTTCAAGAACAAACATTTCGCCAATGAATGTTTTCTGTGAAGTGGATTGCTTGCTAATGCATTGAGGGAAATACTTTCTGTTGGTGACAAATAAGCTTAGCTTAGCAGGTTCAATACGTAATAAGAGAAGGAGAAATAACTTTGTACGATGATAGCATCTACACTTTTCGAAGAAACTTTCCTTACTTTTATGCAATACCATCTTGGAGACGTTCAGTGCAGTTTAACACTATAAGAGAGCATTGAACAATGACATTGAATGCACAAAACTGTGTTTTAAAATTTCAAAATCGGTTAACGCAGTTTACAGAAAATTGATATGAAGAATCCTGATTCACATTGTGATAGATACATGATATCTGAAAACAAATCATGAACGTATCATTCCTTAGGCATGACACAAATACGTGTGATCAGATAATGTGAATATAAAAGATTCAGTTTATTGTACACTTTGTGCTCTTCACAAAATTCTGATATTTTTCTTAAAAGATCAACGCATTTATTATCAGAATGAAGAACTACTCACACAAAAGAATTGATGGAATGATAGTCAACCATACTGTGCTACTCATCTCTCTCTGAAGAACTATATGATTCCACGATGAGACAAATGGGTGATAGGTTATATATTGCCTATTCGTGTATTCCCTAGCATTACTATTTCATTGGTTCATATCGTGAAAAAAATTACCAGAAGAACACGCCATTCAACTATTCAAACCTGCAGGTACAACATCTGCACACGACGGTTACACGGATTGTCAAACACACATTCATTTCTATAAATGAACTTTTTGGTATTAATATATTTTGATTCTAATTTAATTTTTATTGTAGAAATTTATAGATTTTGTTTTTAAAAAATATACGAAATCCTTTCTCAGTACATAAGGCACCAAGAAAATGAACACGCTGCACTATATTGATCACTCTTCGATTTCCAGTCATCATACAAACAAGAGATTAACTGTTTTCATTATAAGGCTATACACCATTCCACTCAGTATTTATGAGACATTTCATTAACTGAAAACCACAAACTTGCTAAGATTTTGGTGGAAGATTGATAAAGGTTTAAGTTAATGTGCATCTAGCATGCTTCAAAGAATTCAAAACGTAAGCAAATGAATAAATGTAAGGCAATACAGTTGTCACACCAGGTATATTTCATTATTCATTATGAATGCCTGAGTTATTATTTCATTTGGTGGCATGCTGAGACTGAAAAGTGTGCTTCCATAGATGAAATAACTTATGTACATAACAGGTAACTTCGTACACAGATACATAATGTTAGATGGTATCACGTCTCAGCTGTTTGTGAAAATTCAGGAGCCACTCACAATGTAAACTCTCAGGATCGAACCCATTCTTAATCTCGATTTGGCATGGGAATTTTCCCCCAAAAATGGAAAACGTTTACAGCAAAAACATGAAGTTTAGAGCTGATAAGATTATGTGATATTTAATAAGGCAATGTTCATTATTATCAGATCAGTTTCGGTGTTAAGTGTCTCCACAATATGGCCTATTTACTAAGATTCTCAGTCTCCTAACGAAAATCATTCTGCTATGATCTGCATAGAGACACTAGTTGAGCCTCTAAACGAATAGTTACTTGTTTCATAAGTCACTCTTATTGTTTCTCTTTCATCTACGTCTATTCGCTTAGTGACATAATAATAATTAAATAAACTAACGAAATCAGGACAAATTACAGAACAAGATCAATGGCAAATGAGATCTAACGGACCCATTTTGCCTCGATTTTATGGTAGAGCAAAACTACACAAACCGAACATCCCTTTACGACCAATCGTTTCGCTTCCAGGAACACTAACATATAATCTATCTAGAGAACTTTTCAGGAAGTTAAATTACCTAACAGAATCATGCGACCATTCTATCAATTCGTCAATCCAATTTTTAGAGAAAATCAAAAACATTCAGGTAGAAGACAATGAAATAATGGTGTCCTTTGATGTCACAGTATTATATACTTCGATTAGTCCAAAACTAGCAACAGAAACTATGCAACGATTACTCTATAGTGATGAAAACATAAAAACGCAATGTTCAACTTGGATAGAACTCATGAAATTATGCCTTACAACATACTTCCAATTTAATACTCAAATATATGAGAAAATAAAGGGAACACCAATGGGATCGCCCATATCAAGATAGGATAATAGCTGAAGCCGTTATGCAAAGATTAGAATTAATAGCTGTACCTATAAATAAACCGAAAATCTGGGTACGTTACGTTGATGATACATTTGTAATAATTAAGAGAAATGATTTAGAATATACCCATAAATTGATAAACAACATATTTGAAGACATCAAATTCACAAGAGAAGAAGAGTTAGATAACAAAATCCCATTTTTAGATGTCTTAATCAGGAGAACCAACACAGGAAATTTAGAAACACAAGTATATAGAAAGTCATTGCACACAGATCAAATACTCAACTATACTAGCAACAATTCAATTTTGCGTCGGTGGCACAGTGGTTAGAACTCTCATCGACCATGCACATGGTCCGAGGTTCGAGCCCCCGCCGACGCACATCTGATATCTATGGTCGGCCTGCAAAATTTGGGCTACCGATACCCACGCTGAAAATTCCATACTTGTACCAAAAATACAGTGTGGAATCAAGCTGTAAATCAAAAATAAAAAATAAAAGTACTCACAAAAGAAACTGTGTGGAGACATTGTTTAGAAGGATTCACACACATTGTAGCACACCAAAGTTGAAAAGAATAGAAGAAAGATACTTACAAACAGTGTTCAAGAAGAATGGTTTTCCAAAATATTTCATCAACAAGTGTTCAAAATCGAATCAAATCACCAACATCATCAAAGACCACAAGAAAATTCATCCTACCATATATCAGAAACATCTCTGAAATAACGGCTAGAATAATGAAACCGTTTGATATAGATGTAGCACACAAACCAGCTGAATCGCTTAATTCCATCTTATCCAAACCAAAAGATCCGATAGAAAAGGGAGATAAAATTAACACCATTTACAAAATAAATTTTGTGAACTGTAACAAACATTACATCGGCCAAAGTGGGCGTTCCCTTCGAATAAGAATCCAGGAACACGAATCAGCCGTGAAAAGACATGATATAAATTCTTTAGTATCAATACATTCAGACGATCATGGACATCAATTTGATTGGGATAACGTCAAAATCTTAAACAGAGGAAACACCAAATGTGCCAGGGAATCCCTAGAAGCCTGGTACTCAAATGAAAACGCAATTAATAAACACGTTAATATAGATGAAATATACCAACTAATAAGAAGTGAATCAGGTGATCAGAAAGTTAAAAATCCCAATCAATAGAACACGGTCAATACATATCTAAAGATGGTTACCGGGAGACTCATGAAGAAATTTGAATCATTTCACTTTAATCTAAATACTGCGCTGAAGATGTCGTCCAGAAAGACGATGAAAGCTGCACAATTAAACCAAGGAGCTCAGAGAACACTATCAATTGCAAATAATTTTCTTTGTTTCAAAGCAGTACTTGCGATACAGAATGGAATTCTCAGCATTTTTTTATTTTTATTTTTGTTTACAGCTTGATTCCACACTGTATTTTTGGTACAAGTAAGAAATTTTCAGCATGGATATT